AATTGCTACAATACACTTGATTATCAATGCTGCTGAATTAATCCAATTTATATATTTTAAAATTGCTTTGACTTCAAAATTTAAGTCTAAGGACAGGTTACTGGGGAAAAGGATTTCTATTTTTGTTTCCACAGAAAATGAAAAGCTATGGACTCCTTCCAGACTAACATGGTTTGATCAAGCAAGACCTACTGAAGCAGTGTCCTAGGTGATCCAACATTCAAAACAGCTGGAACAAGGCAGCCTTGCAGACTACAGTCAGGATTTCTTCCTCTTCTTAGGATCCCTATGACAGCGCCCCCTACCAGCAGGAAGCAGTTTGGAAAGAACAACACCCAAATTCCCAAATATTGTTTATAAATGTTTGTTTTCATTTAAATGGGGTTGGTTATAAATAGTTAATGATCACAACCAATCTCTTCTTAAAGGTAAAGAAGGGGATTATGGTATAGAAATGAATACTTTGTTTTGGAATGGATTTTCGTTTATTGTTACAAATTTAAGGTCAATTTTGTGATATGTATATTTCTCCTCATGTTTAAGTATTGTGTTTATATATCTCACTTTAAAATGTGATGTATAATTAAGTACAGATTGTAGATAGTTACTGATGATAGTCAAAACTTAGAGTTAAGTTAGTTAGGCTTTCTAGGTATACAGAGATATATTTCAAATGGATAGGCATTCCTCAAACCTTTCAAAGACCCACAGAATATGGCATTTAAAATGGTTTAGGGTTTTTCTTAATGGTAAGGCACAACTGCTCCTGGCAACACAACCTTTGTCAGAAAGTAAGATGGACATGGAAGAAAATCATTATGGAGTTTACTTTCAATATGGCAAGACTAGCCATTTGAGCAAGATACTGCTCTTGTCTGGACTGTTTGACTTTATGCTGTATAAACTGAACATACAAAACCCACAAGTGCTGATGCAAGATGGATAATGATACAGAGTTCCTACTTCATGGAAGAGTCTGCCAGACATTCTACAGGACACAGAGAAAAGTGAATGACAAACTGCCAATACAGGTGGGACAGTTTGAAATTTCCTGCTATGCTGAGGAGTCTGCCAGACACACTGTGGCCTATAGACTGAAGATGGAACATTACAGAAGAACTTCAAGTGACTGACCAGGCAGCAAGTTGTCTCTGTCATTTCTAGAGTTTATATATTATCCTTCTGTGGTCTTTGAAGGAGTTGAAGACAGATAGGTATGGTTATAGTTTTCCTTAGTTAGGATTAAAGATAAGTTACATATAGGACTTTAGACTCACAAAGATAGGATAGATGATAGAATATTTTCTTTAAATCTTGCTAAATGTTAATGAACTAAATATTGTTAACTGTGGTTCTTATTTGGTAACTGTCTTGTTATATATTTTACTATGTTAAAGTTAAAATCCTTTTTATTTTAGACAGAAAAGAGGAGATGATGGGAGATGTCATTCTGCAAATCTGTTTCTCTTATTGGTTAATGAATAAAGTGCTATTGGCAAATAAGAAAGCAAGATAGGCAGAACTAGGAGACAGGAGGATACTGGGAGATGTAGTGGAGGAGATTCAAGATGTAGAGACTTGAGGGAAGAGGTCCAGACCCTCTCTCCAGTAAGATAGGACCACATGGAACTTAGACTAATGGAAATGGGTTAATATTTAAGACAGAGCTAGCCAATAAGAAATGCTAGTAACTGGCCAACAGCATTATATCTAGTAGTGTCTCTGTCTCTGTGTGTCATTTGGGGCTGATGTAGCTGTGGGACCAGGCTGGCAGGAAAATTGCTTGTAACAACCAACAGCTGTCTGGTTAGACTTAACAGAAGACTTATACAAGGTATGGTAAACCTAGTCAATTTCACGTAGTCCCTGAGGACATGGACCTTAGACTCTTTTAAGCCAGCCTAATTCTCAACTCTACTTTAAATTTTATCCTTATACCAACAGGTAAGGAGAGATCATAACACAGAAACCGTAAAATTAAGAATAACATAAAAATATTGAAAAGAAAATAGCAACAACTAATCAGTCAGTAAGCATTCAGAATTTGAAAAAAGTCCAGTGATAAATGCCTATCCAGAAAAATGGTTTTATAAGAACACTATCAACCCGCAGTTGATGGCTGTTTGGCATGATGCATTTTGCTTATCTGTGTAATGTAGCTAAGCATGGCTTGCTTACCCTTGCTTCGTGTAAATTAGTAGTTGTTTCATATAAGCAATGATGCATTTGTATACAAGAAAATCCTTACTTCCTAAGAGTACTAACTAAACTTTCAGTGTCCTGTCATTTTATCTTTCTAATTCTGCCTCTTTCATCCCACTTCTCCCCACTCTTCCAGCAACAACTTCTGCCCCTCTTCCTCTTCTGCATCTGTCATTATAGTGTAATGTCATTTTAATCTAAGGTACATACAGTGCTTGAACTCGGAATGTCTTCTGTGAATATCTCCAATGCAGTACTCATCCCGTGGTACTTCTCCTTTGCTTGTTTAATGGATCTGGTCATATTCAATAAGAAGACAAAAATATGAAATGAATTTCTACATTAATATACTTTTTAATACTCTTTAATAAACTTAAAACATTTTAATGCAAATGAATGTACTAAGCAAAGACTCTATGGCATATCAAATTTTTTAAAAAATGGTTTGGATTAACAGGTAAGTTCTAGAAGACAGACAGAGCTGTCTTAGGTTCTGACATTTAGGAAGCAGTGCCAATTCTCAAACATTCCTGTGTGCATTACTGGGGATGATTCTTTACACAGTTTATGAACAAGAAATAGCAGTTGCTTTGAGTGACCTGTCTTGACAGTATTATTATCTTCTAGAATAATCTTTGCTCCAACATAAAGGAGAGAGAAGAGGAACTTATGAGAATGGCAGCCACCACTTCCTCAAACATGGAAAAGTGAGAAATGACAATAGACACCAGATGACCAGGGACAGACTAACAAGCTCTAGTCAGGTGCTGCACAGACTCTTCTTATTCATTTATCACTATTTACAGAATTAGAAATACACAACAAACTACCTTTCAAGGAAACAACACCAATCTCTTTTTTGGTCCACAGACCTGTAATATAAGATGGAGAACAATTAAATCATATAAAGACTTTATGTTTGGATTTGAAGAGTGTCTTTTATGACCAAATATTAGAAGTTTGTGGTCTGTGGTTATATCAATGTGAGTGTCCTGCACGCATCTGGGAATTTGACAGACCTGCCCTTTCACAGGGGACCTGCTAGTGACAGGAAGTGGGCAGCAGTGGGGAACTTAGTTGCCTGCAGCTGTGTGATCCATGATAACTACCCCTGGTTAGTTATGAGAGTTATGTCCCCAAGAGATAAAAGGGAGATTGAGCCTTGTGTGTTCCTAATGATTGAGGAGATTGCAAATGCGGAAGATTGTTTGCATTGAATTATACTAGAAATATGTAAAATTGAATGCTTCCTGAAAGTATTTCCTATCTGTTATCATTTAATGGTTGATTTAGTTTCTTACACTATTGGTAGTTATGAACCATGCTATTATAATATTTGTGCATAATTTTTAATGTGATTGTATGTTTTCTTTTTCCATGAGTCTACAACTAGGATTAGAGCTGTCAAGTCACATGGAATAGTTGTTGAACTTCCTGTGGAATCATTCAATCGTCCTTTTTTCCAATGGTGAGCATATTTCTTGCTTATATTACTAACAGCTCCCCATTTCCCATATGTATAATTCTGGGGAAGCATTCATCAGAGGGGTCTACCAGCCATCCATATGGTTCCTAGTGTATGTGTATACCATTTCTAATCCCCCATACAAAGTTATATAAAGAAAATAAGAACAGAGATGAAATGCACTGAGTGACATGTATTATTACAAATGACTGATATTCAGTGTTAAAAACTAGTCTATACAACCAACTTCAATCACTCAGTGTAAGAACGCCTGGAAATTTCTCATCAAACACTACACATCTCCATTTAAACTTCTTTATCAAGTGTCAATCAACATAAAATGTAATTATCAGAGAAATCAGGAATAAAATAGAAAAATGAAAGACACAATCATGGATTTCTCCCTAAAAACCTCTGAGAATGTTTTCCTAAGTCATGCGCTGAGGCTGTATTTAGTAATGTTACAAAGCATAAAGATGTGTTTTAGCTGAGGGAACTCTGGGATGAGGCTTGAAGTCTGGGGGAGGACTGAGGAGAGGAAAGAACAGTGTGGAACCCATGGATGAACTTCACATATGGTAACTAGTATAAGTGCTGCTGTGTGCCTGTCCAGACCATCCCTGTGAGTCCTTCAGTTGTGTTCTAATGGAGAGCTCTCTATGACACAGACAACCCCTACCTACACAGTGGCCTGAGAATGGAAAGCTAGCCTGATCCCCACAAGTCACCTCTGAAGGTCTAAGGACACCTGCTCTCACCTCTTGTCTTTCTCTAGTCACCAAATATGTAAACTTGATACACAGACACATGAGATTCTTGATATTTATGATAAAACGATTTAGTCCAGTAAGACCCTGATCATTTTGGAACAACAAAGGAATTGTTGATGCTAACTGGCATAGTTAACATTACTGACAAAAAACAAAACCCAGTGTATTCATGTTCTAGGGTAACCTTGATCATCTGTCTGAAATGCTGGAAAAGAAGCCACAACCTTCCTGCGTCTAATTCCTTCCATAGCAGCTGAACACCCTTTCCCTCCTGCTACCAAGAAATTGGCATCTGTAAAACCCCAATGATCAGTATCTTAGGAAGTTCCCTAAGTGATTCCTACTTTTGATTCATTTAAAAATGAAAATATGTTGAAATTTCATCTCCTAGAAAATATTGTGGTGGTTATAAAGAGTGTTCATACAATCAGATTAAAACTGTTTATTTTTTAAGTTCTTGGAACAGTTTTTACATTAAAATTATCTATGCATACTGCATAAAATGAAGCCACCTGTGTCCTTCCACACACACCCAATGCAACCAAAGGAACAAGTTCTAGTTCTTACCAGAAGGTGGCGATGAAGTTTTCCATGGGCCAGCCTAGGAGAATGGATTTCCTGGCCTGATTGGAGCCTACAAAGTCTGTGACCACACAGTCCCCAATCCAGAGGGAAGTCAGGGGGATGATGTATTTTATCTTAAAGGTTATCTTATACCTAAAAAAAGAATTAAAGAAGATCTGTGTTAATTTGTTTTTAAATGGGGTATCTGTGCTCATGGCATGAGCAAATCAGGACCAGTTTGTTTCTATTACTCCAGGCACAGCCCAGCAAGTGGGCAGATGGAACTCAGTAAGGCCGCACTGAGGGCAGTGTGCCTCTGACAGTACCTTTCCACATCTGCATTGAGTATAGATTACACTTTGCATTTGAAACATACTGTTTTAACTATTCATTCTCATATGTACAGAGAGCAAACATTCATTTCAGTAATTTGCCCTTGTTTCAATCAAGTACTCAGGTTTCAAACTTCCTTAAAACCAAGCCAGTTAGTTTTAAAGCCCAGGTCAGACATTCTGCTCTGAAGTGATGAATATACCTGCCATTTTCTGAAACCTAACATATTATAGCTGTTCTTTTTTTTTTTTAGGGTTTCTCTGTGGCTTTGGAAGCTGCCCTAGAACTAGTTCCTGTAGACCAGGCTGGCATCGAACTCACAGAGATCTGCCTGCCTCTGCTGGAATCAAAGGTGTGCGCCACCACCACCAGGGTGTTCAATTTATTCTTAACAACATCAGCTAATCTCTATTAACCCCACTTGTTATGTGAGGAAGGGTCAGAATGACTAACAGAAATAGGGTTTGGATCCAGGAAGTGCAATAGCCAACCACAGCTCAGAACTGCTGGGCCTCTCCAACTCTTCATCCATATTCTTTGTGTCTCTGTGGGAGCACAGCCCTGGGAAGCAATTCTCTCCTCCATCCAATGTGGGCTTCCTTTTTGTAAGGGCCATCAGCCTTTGCACTGGGATTGTCTTTTATTATTGAAGTGTGTCGACAAATTCCATGAACTTGTCAAGGGATTTTTAAATCTACAGCTACCTGGGAAGAATGAGTAATGGACAACAGAATTTTATTCTCAAACATTTGCTCAGATTGCCATTTGTTTCTTCTCCCCTTAACAGCCAGATCTAGTTGGTTATGCTAATAACATCCCAAAATGTTTGTGTTGTTGACATGTGCAATCAAGCCTGGCTGTTAGTATAGATTCTTAATTTTATTTTCTACCAGGGAACTGGACAAAACGGACTCCATGGATTGTTAAATAAATAAGTCATCATCAAAATATTTGTAAAAAACAAATGGCAAATCCCCTTGGATTGTCTCTCAGTAAGGGTGACACACTGTAACCTCTGATAATTAGGAATCTGAAGTAAAGCATACCGACTATTTGTCACAACCAAGAAATCTCTGTACAGGTAGAGGTGACACTTCTTAGTGATACTGCCTCTTCTGAGTTTCACTGCTCCATGGGACATCAGGGTTTGATTCTTGATTTCCGCATCTGTGACTTTCCCATTTAGAATTTCCATCTCAGTAAAGAGGCTTCTCCTGCAACAGGGTCAAACACTAACAGAACAAAGGATAGTCAGAGGTCAGCAGGATAGTCAGGGGTCAGAGGTCAGCAGGATAGTCAGGGGTCAGCAGGATAGTCAGAGGTCAGCAGGATAGTCAGGGGTCAGCAGGATAGTCAGAGGTCAGCAGGATAGTCAGGGGTCAGCAGGATAGTCAGGGGTCAGCAGGACAGTCAGGGGTCAGCAGGATAGTCAGAGGTTAGGGGTCAGCAGGATAGCCAGAGGTCAACAAGATTAAGTTTATGAGAAATGGGAAGTGTTATGGGTTGTTTTCTAGATATATCTAAATCAGTGTTTTCAATTTGTATCTTTTTCACTTGGACTTGCTGAGATATATGTATGTTTGTATATATGCATATATGCAAATATTGATTTTTATCTATACATTTTCATAAGTATGTATTCATGACAATAACTATGATACAATCTCCAAGACTCAAATAAGATAGTTTTGAGCTGGGCATTGGTGGCTCATGCCTTTAGTCCCAGCTCTTGGGAGGCAGAGGCAGGTGGATCTCTGTGAGTTCAAGTCCAGCCTGATCTACAGAGCTAGTTACAGGACAGGCTCCAAAGCAATTCAGAGAAACCCTGTCTCAAAAAAAAAAAATAGTTTTGACTAGAAAATATCTCAACAAGTATTTATCTTCCTTATCAATTTGGGAAGTGTGAATCAAAAGTCAATAAAACAAAGAAAGAACATTAAATGCAAGAGTGTGGGGAATTAGGAAAACTCATTGATTGTTAGTGGAAATAAAAACGTAAGAAGCCACTGGGGTAATCAGCCTGGAGAGTTCTCAATAAGGAAAATCTCCCATATGAGCCAGCTGGCCCACTGCGTGGCATATGTTCAAAGGACTTCAACTCTACTTCACAGACACTTGCTGAGCCAATGTTCACTGCAGCTCTTTTCATAACACTTGGGAAACAGAGCAACTGGAACATCCTTCGACAGGTGAATGGACGGTAAATTGCGGTATATGTGCACAAGGGAATACTATTCAGCTGTGAAGGAAAATAAAGTCACGAACTTTTCAGGCACATGTATGGAGATCCAAAAATTGTATTGTGTGAGGTGACAGACACAGAAAGACAAACAGTGCACGTTCTCTTCCATCTACAGTCTTAGCTCAAAATCTTCAAATGTGAACACATTACATGGAGTAACTGCAAAGCGTGGGGAAGTAAAAAGGGGCAAAGGGGACAGGAGCTAAAGGGGACTAGACACTACAGGGTATGAAGGGGGGGAAATGGGGAGGGAGGCTCTGATTTTGTGGGCAGAGGGTGGCACAGGAAGGGTTGACAGACAAATAAGTATGATTAAGCCTTGAGGAATCAAGTTAGTTTATATTTACCTAAATGTACAGTGTACAGTTGTGTGTATACATATTCGTATGTAGTTGTACCAGTTGGGGTGACAGATCTCCCCCAAAGAGTTACAAGATATCACACAAAAAGCCTAAGGCCTCTTCTCCATTTGTTATTCGGAGTAAACAAATGACTACAAACACAATACAGGCTACTGCTGTGTGGCTTGCTTTCCTCTCAGAGGTGGAGGTTAAGTCCATGATGCTGAAAGCACCCCGGCTTCAGACACAAACTGAGAAGAAGAAATCTGGATCTCACCTGAAATACACTTTCACACACCTTTAACTTTCACATCCCCTAACATATATTGTGGAAAACAACAGCTGTCTAATTTGACTAAAGGCCAAAATAATTCAGATTTGGTTTCATGTAAATTCAAGTAAATAAGGATGTTTGGAAAAGCCATTCCTATCTTAGGTAAAAAAAAGAGTTCAAATGTGTGAAATTGGTGTTAATAATAAATGGAGAAACACTAAAAAGCTTCTGAGAACCACAAGTTCTCAGATGTTTGGTTGAGGTCTGACCACTATTCAGTTGGCCTTCATGCTCATGTTGGGTAAAATGACCAAGTTCATTTACAAGCACTTTTCTCCCACTTGCCCAGGTCCTCTGTTCTCTGACGTCATGAAGCCTCCTTTCCTAAGGAGATCAGCGCTGAACTTCACTAAAATGATTTGTTTCTCATGAGGGCTGTGCTGAGTGGAGAACAAGTTCACATAATCTGGAGAAAACAAGACAGAATAATTTGAGCCTGCCCACCTATCATAAGGATCAAAACTAGTTCTTAAGAGAGTACCTTTCCAGTGAAGCCTTGAGTGGAGAGCCTTTCAATAGACTGAACTTCTTTATCCTTGGCACTAGACACCAAAGACGGCCAGAGCTGTTGGCAGGACCTGAGGATTCTGCAGGAGTCAGGGTGACTGACCACTGTGATGTCAAGATTAGAAGGCTGATGTCATAACTGACAAAATGACACCAATTTACTGTCCATCTGTATGTTAGCTTTTAAAATGATATTTGAGATGTTTTTAGATTCACAGTACTATGTCCTGTATCCCGAACCTCTAATGCACTCCCATAACCATACATACTGGATTGTTGTCCATTTTTAACTGCTTTAGTGGCCAAAGGACAAGAGGCAATATACAATATACTATCTTATGTACTTGGACTCCGGCTAGGGCCAAACTGTTGACGTCACACCACAGTAAATGACACATGGTGGGACATATTTGAGAGAGAGATGGTGAGACAGGAAGCCAGACATGGTAACTGGGCACTAGTCTTGCTCTCTGAAAGTCCTGGTCATGTTATAGGTAAACAAACTTAATGCCTGAAGAGAGCATCAGTCCCATATCCAGGGTGGCTGCCCTGTGGACCCTGACTCTTACAAGTACAACCACCTCTCAATATTCCCACATGAGGACTAAGCTGCCAATATAATAGCCATTGGGGTAATAATCATGTCCAAAGTAGGAGAAAGGTGTTAATTAAAAACCAGTAGAATTAATATTAGGATGTTTCTACTTCTACAATCATAGCCACAATTGCTAACCCATAACAGCTATCTTCTTAATTCCTGGAAATCAATTTCTTCATTCTTAATGTCTACAATACTGTCTTTTGATGAATGCTGTAAAGTCATATGAATTTTGAAATTTTATTCCACTCACATGGGGGTGGGACATGGAATTGAGTGTGTCAGGAGGTGGGAAGGAGCTGGTAAGAGTGGGAGGAGTTAAACTATAATCACTATATTTTGTATTAATACATTTTTAAGAGAAAAATAAAAGCCAGGCATGTTGACATATGCCTTTAATCTTAGCACTTGGGAGGCAGAGGCAAAGGCAGGCAGATCTCTGAATTCAAGGCCAGCCTGATCTACAGAGCTAGTTCTAGAACAGCCAGATCTGCTCAGGAAACCTCTGTCTCCAAAAAAGAAAGAAAGAAAGAAAGAAAGAAAGAAAGAAAGAAAGAAAGAAAGAAAGAAAGAAAAGAAAGGAAGGGAAGAAGAGGAGAAAGACAAGGAGGAGAAATATAAGTAATTTAGCAAACATAATATATTTTCTTTACTGTATGTTTTAAGGAATTAAAATATCTAAAATTTTTCTCTTGGAACCTTTTTAGGAAGACAATAAGTACATAGGCAAGGCATTCATGTCGAGATAAAGGCCTGGTTTCATGAAGAGAGACATAACAAACGTTCCATGTATTCGTGTGTGTGCATGCACATGTGGTCATTTGAGTGTGTGGCTTTGACATATGTGATGTGTGTGTGTGCATGGATGAAGGTATGCAGATTTGGGGGTCACATGTGGAGGTTTGAGCCTAATGGTGTGAAAGGATAGCATCCACATCTGGTCTTTGCCTCACTTCTTATTTGAGACAGGTTCTCTTTTATTCTTTGCTATGTCTCATGCATCTGCCTAACAGACTCACAGTTTGTGGTGATCTCCTGTCTAGCTCCTACCACTGGGAGGATGCTTCTGGCTTAGAGATGCTTGAACCACAATGTCCTAATTTCTATTGCTATTTCTTTTGTCTGGAAGATCTGGTGATCTGAACTCAAATCATCATGCTCATGTCTCAAGTGCTTTAGGCATTGAACCAACTCTTCATGCCCTTGGATATTTTCTCAAAATTTTAATTGTTAATTTCACCCTATGTGGTCAATATTATTTACTGTTAATTTTGTTGTACCTGAAATTATCTACGAGACAAGACTCCAAGCACAGCTGTGAAGAATGATCTCAGGTCAGGCTCTGCCCAAGCCCATGAGGAAAATATGTATTAAGTTAAGGTATGAAGAACCACACCCAAACTGGGCTGCACCAAGCCTTGTTCATGGTTCTTGCAACACACATAAAGGAGAAAGCTTGCTGGGTGTCAGCATTCAGTGTTCTCTGCTTCTTGCCTGAGTAAACCACTTGATCAGCCCCATCAACTCCCGACAATAGAACTTCTCCATGATGATGTTCTCTGTCATCATATGCAGTCATATAAATCAGTGCTCATGTAAGTAACATGCTAGAATATCCTATCACCACAGTTGTGACAGAAATGTCATGCCAAGACTGACACTGTTGTTATGGTAAACCTAGCAAAATGATTCTTGGATTCCTGGAACTAATTTTGTATGTTGTAAATGAGAATATGGAGATTTAGGGCAAAGGAAGTCCTAGCATGTTGGAAACAGAGATTCATGGGCTATTCTCTTGTGAGCTTGGAAGACAAGAATGAAGAGAGATGATGGAGGTCATGCTCATAAGTACAAACAAACAAAACAAAAAACAAAAACATGGGCCTGATTATGAACTAGGCCAAGTGTTCTTTGTATGATATTCTAGGAAGGAATCTGGGAATCTTTAGCATTGTCATAAGAACCAAGGTCAAACACTAATTTGTTTCCGGATGGAAATCTCTGTGGAGTGGGGCTGATATACCAAAAGCCATGCAGTTCCCTTCTCTGGATTTGTTTTTATTCCATGTCACAAAACCCAGAGAGCCATGGGAACATGGCCATGACATGTTCTCTGTTTCTGGAATGGAGATTTATTGGGAGCAGCATCTTCAAGTTCCTGACCCTAGAACTTCCTTCCATGTGTTCCTACACTGT